TAACAAACACAGATATGCAAAAAGAAAAATGGAACGGTATTGCTCTGGAAGGTACTGTGGGTTTGGCAGCAACGTGACCAAGAGTTGCGGCAAAAACCCTTGAACAGGCAGCTGGCAAACAAACCCAAGTCCAGCTCTGCAACATGTCCATGACGAAAAGGTTCCGTGAAACCTTGGTGAGTTATGAACCTCTGTGGCATTTCGGAGACGGCGAGGTCGCGGTGCGCGAGCCTCATAGTAAAGCCACGGAACCTGGGTACGAAGCATTTGCAGCGCCCATCTTGTCAACCGTCAAAAGCTCGCGATGGAGCAGAATCATGTGACCAGAAGTTTGATATATTGCAAGGCAAATCCAAACCTGGAGCAGAGCCAATGCTGCACTTCACAAAGATCATGTTGGCCTCCATTGACCTGATGCAAGTGGCCTCCATTGACAGCTGGGGTGTGTGTGTGTGTGTGTGTGTGTCCCAAACTCCTTTTGGGGCCAACAATCATTCAGCTGCATGGATTGCATTCACCAATACCTCTAAGATACTGTGGACATCGAGCACTGGGTACTTGGTTCCGCCGGAATTCATCGCTTCCATCCGTAGGCCCCGAGCCGCTGGCTCTCGGCTTGGGCTCCGCTGGTTTCTGAGCCAATGGCCACCACGGTTTTTGCGCTGGGCGGGCGGGTCAAAAATCGGGCAACCCCAAAATGGGGGGCCCGATCGGTGAATGGAAACAGGGACTAAAACCTGCGGTCCAATTCCTGGTGGTTTGATTTTGACCCGTACCCATTTGCTTGATTATCCCAAGGGCATACACCCGACGTTCGAGTCCGGATATGGAACCAATCGAGGTTCGGAGCGCGTGCCGGCGCTGAATCCAGCCAAATGGCCATGGGCTTTTCAAAACCCAAATCGGTTAGCCCCCAGTGAACATCCCAAACCAACCACTAAAATAGGCTCTAAAATGGGTGGTGCACCTACCCCAAAATGGGATCCTATTGGTTTTGAACCATGGCCAATGAAAACACAAAGGGCGACAACGGTCCGCTTCCACAGCTTTTGCCGCGAAAAACTTGAAGTGGCACTTCTCATGGCCCCTCATTGTTCGGATCCAGATCTGTATGAAACACGTGGAATCAAATGAATTTGCCTTCATCGCGGAACACATGTTCAAGGGTCCCAGCGCTCTACCCAACAACCATCAAGTGAGAAATGCATCTATCGAACTGGCCAGGAATCCCTTCCAAATCATTCTTTTTGAGCCAAGTTCCCCTCAGGACCCCCAACCTGAAAGAAAGAAAGAAAAGTCAAGTACATGCTCACGTGGAAGTAGTATCTGAGCAACTATCTATCTACAAAACTAAGGCCTGGCCGGCTTCCAAGGAAAAAGTCACACGTGGATAGCCGGAGGGAAATGGGGTCCTGGTTTGGAGATCCACATATTCCGCATCCATCCGCTGCACTTGCCCGTCGCACCCTTCTTTTTACGCGGCCTCTTCCAGCTGTTGAGAAACTGGGGCCTCCAAGATCTCTGCAGCTGATCCCTCCCAGACTCTTGACTTGGACCGTCCGGAGGGGTAGCCCTGGGACCCCCGAACATGATTCACAATAGAATTTGGTGACCTCTCTAAAGCAAATATCCACGAAAGGCTCACCACGCGCTCACCCAAGGTATCTGCACTCACCCAGGGTGTCTGCAGCAGTGAGCATTACGGTGGTCCAAAGTTCCAACTGCAGAGCGCCTGTTCTGGTGGCTGTTCAAAAACGCCGGTGTTCTGGTTGACGAGCAATCCCAGCCTTGGCTCAAACCTATTAACACCCTCATCAACCAGAACATTGCCGTAGATTGTAGGTTGCTTGCACTGTGGAAGCTTTGCTCGGGTGATCAATTCACCCTCATCCTACTGTCTGTCCAGTCTCAGTGTCAACAACTCGGCATTTGTTGAGCTTGACTTGCTGAGCAACTTGTTTGGTCTCGCACTTCTGGCGCTGAAACCATTCAGTCTCACTCACTATTTCCGGCCACGTGTGATTGTAGGGCTCATGGACCTGTCGTTCCTCTGTGCGGTTCTGCTCGACCTCGAAACTCACATGCTCCACATGTGGCACCTGAGCCACGAGAGGAGCGTGCCTTTAGCAAAGGAATGGTCCTTTGACCTGGTTCTGCTGATTCCAGAAATCAGCAAGCAACGACGACGAGCTGGAAACAGCCATTCACACACACGCACTGAATCTCCCGAGGGAGGAATCTGAAAGTTCGAGTTGTCTTCGAGCTGGCTCGGGTTCAATGATCGAGTGGCGCAACCCCTGCTGACTGTAAGATGGTGGATTACCTCTGGAACCGAAAACGTTACCAGATCCAACATGAAGCACACAGCAAGAGAAGCCAAGGACCAGAAGAACTTTGCATCATGCAGGTACCGGTGGTTGATCAGACCACCCATCCCCCGCCATGGAACAGCTTCGTTGGCACAGGTATCCACACGTGAAAACAGTATTGCCCCTTTCTCTCCGTCGCATAGCCGGTACTGGAAAGAACTGCATTTCCGGCAACAGGTAGAAAAGTCTCCCATTTCGGAATAAGAAATGGCAGCGCCATCCGGGGTCACTCACTGGGTACACCCGAGGATCCCGCTAATTGGGGTAGCACGCGCTTAAACTCCCGAAGAAGGAATCTGACCTTCGAGTTGGGTCTTCCAGTTGGCGGCGCAAGTACAGTGCTCGAATGGCACAGCTCTTGCTGGCTGGCTGTAAGACGGCTTCACCTCTGGAAACGCAAACGTTACCAGATCGTATCCACGACCGGCCCTGTGCCCCCTGCCTGTGACTGCAAATGGTGGTGACAGGGTAAAACTCTCACTCGGACACACACAACACAACACACACACACACACGCACACACACACACACACACACACACACACACACACACACACACACACACACACACACACACACACGAGCGCGCGCGCGGGAGGGTGCGCGCGCGCTGCTCCAAAAAAGGTTTTGAGCTGGTGCTGATGCTGGCAGGGGTGTTGGCAGTGATGGTGGCGATGGTGATGCTGCTGGTGATGCTTCTGCTGGTGGTGCTTCCACTGCAAGCCTCTGGTGCTTTTCACACAAACCTCATATGGCTATGGGTCAAAACCCTGAACCCCCCGTGAACATCCCGATCACACTAAAATAGACTAAAATGGGTGGTGCACCTACCCCAAAATGGTTCCATTGGTGTTGACCCACGGCCATATTCACGGCGCAACGGCCAAGTCCCTCGCCTGCGCACCGTGCAACTCCGCCGCACGCCGCTGCTGGCGCGCCCAAAGCCCGTCCAGCTCGGCGATGCTGACGCTGGGCACGCGGCCAAGGGCCTCCTGCAGCTGGCTCAAGGAGCTCTCGTTGAGCGCGGGGCCGTACCACGGCACCAGCTCTGAGAGACCCTGCTCCGCCATCACCTTCAAGAAAACGGAAATAGTGTCTTAGTTTCAACGCACAGAGAGAGAGAGAGAGAGAGAGAGAGAGAGAGAGAGAGAACGAGAGAGAGAGAGAGACATAGGAAGAATGTCTTAGTTTCATAGGCAGCCTGGGAGCCGCCCCTCGGAACTATCAAGCGCTTTCACCGTGATGCAACCATACAATGTGCTGTAGATGGTGAATATTCATTGACTGTCGGCTATGGCTGTACATACAAAATGCACCAGCACCACCCACATACTCCACCCATACGCCCAAGACTTCCTCAAGGCGTGGCCATGATTTTCGATTGGGCACCCTTCGGTGGACATGACGTACATTTACAGAGAATGTTTGTCCGCAAACAGTTTTTGCGGACAATTGTCATAGCCACATCAGGCGGGCCACAACTCGTCCCCCCGACCTGCTTCATGCCCCGCAGCTTCTTCTCTCCCGTCTCGCCAGGCTTCTCGTTCATCTTGGATGCCACCACCACCACTGAGTCCATGATGCAACTCCCGAAGCTGGCTTGAAGCTCTGCCAAGGTGGGTCTGAGGCCTTGCAACTGCAAACAGACAGACAAACGCAGCCAAGTGACCCTTTCGCAGCAACAACCCCCAAGCATTAACCTAGAACTTCCTGGAACTTCCCCACCAGAACTTCTGCAACCTCCCAGAAGCTTTCGAGAACCCACTGGGAAAATGAAAACCTTGCACCGAAAGGTCCCAGAGCCCACACAGCCCACAGAGCCCACAGAGCCCACAGAGCCCACAGAGCCCTTGGAGCCCTTGGAGCCCACAGAGCCCACAGAGCCCACAGAGCCCACAGAGCCCTTGGAGCCCTTGGAGCCCTTGGAGCCCTTGGAGCCCTAAGACGCACCAGGAGGCGCATCAGATCGTTCGCCACGCTGTCGAAGACCAGGAACTTGAGCTGGGTGGCCCCAGCGCCCGCCACGCCCATGGCCACCCGCTGCGCCGCCTCGCGGGCCGTGAAGCGGAGCTGGTTGTCGTCATACCCCGGGCAATCCTCGCTCGATCGGTGGAGGCTGGTCCCGGCAAAGGAATCCCTGTCAAGGAAGCAAATCGACCCCAACTCCAAACAAAAAGCTGGGCGACGCTAAGGGGAAGTGGAAGCAGGGCTAGCAGCAAGACCTCTTTCAGACTGTATCCTCAAGGGGGGAGTTGTGTGCAACAAACATGCAGCTCAAGCGTCCAGCACCAACCCCAGTCGGCAGAAAAACAGCTCTGGCCATTCAGTGACAGAATCGCCGCGTCCATCGCCGACGGCAGGACAAGGATCAGCAAGACTCTGCCTCACCTGCCAAACATGCATGAGGTGTTGGTACGTTCATGCGATCCGCACTGCGCCGGTCAGTGATCTATGGAGGAAACATGTTGGTTGGTCAACAGGGGGGCTTGCCGCGCTACTTTTGTCAATCCATCCACTTCAAGTCAGTGTGCAACTCAGCAGGCGGGACGGTAAATTCATGATGCCGCCTAGCTGCAAGACAATGGAAAAAGCACCTGTTTTTGCGATACGCAAGACAGGTCTTGAACTTGCGGCAACCGGTTGATGAAAGTTGTTGCTATATTTGTATTTCACAATGCTTTGTAGACGGAAGGCATGTAAATCAAGCTTTCACTGCTATGGTTCGCTTAAATTTGCTTTTCCTCCACCCCAATCTTCAGCCCAAGGATGAACAGCTCCTGGGATGAACCAATTAGCTGCCTATTCACATTGTTCAAAACAAACAGGGAGGTCGTCAAAGTGACCTCAGGAACATCAAGTCAGCAGCTAAAGTAGAGACACCTTGCGGCAAAACACAGGAGCACGCATGAAGCGCTAAACGGCGTCTTTCAACCTCGATGGTGGCCCGTCAACCTTTCTTGTGGTTTCTCTCTGGCTTCCTCAACCGGCACCTCTTTTGTGTCATGAAAAGAACTGTAGGCTTGAAACATCCGATAAGATTAGAGTATTTCAGCACAAATGTACACGCACAATGTGGTGAGGGGCGAGGAAACCAGTCTCCTTGTGGTTTGTCACTTCGCTGTGAGTTGCTTGTGGTTCAGCTGCTTGAAAGAAGACATGCTACAACAGGCACCAAAGACTGATCTGTATCATGCTTAACGGTTTGCCGACTGATGCATACCAACTGGCACAGGTCTCTTTTCATTCCATTCCTACCCTGCGTCTCATCGCGCTTTCAACCAAAAGAGCCCACAAAGCTGCGCGGCAACAAGGACGAGAAAGCAGATCGCTCAGCACAAAACATAGGGTTTTTTCTGTCTTGCTCATGCGTCGGAACTGCTAAACCATGTCCAAAAGCTTCCTGGCGTGAGGTCTGCCGGATTGTATCCCTTGACAAGCGCCTGCTGTCTTTGCGAAATTCAGTGCAAGGTGAAGCTTCGGAATCACACCTGGCACTTGGTGAGTTTTGCATGCAGGTCGGTGAAGTGATTATAAGGCCTTGTCAAGTCAAAGGCTATTCTGGGTCGTATGGAACTGCGCTGTTGCCACTCACCCCCTGTGGGTGCGCTTTTGTCCTATGAGGATAGCGCCTGGCACACCATGCTGGACTTGGCAGCCTGGCTCGGCCCCCAAAGCCGAAGGAGCAGTCAGATGGGCCTGTGTTCTGGGAACCTGCTTGGTTGCTTTGAACAGAAACCATCAGGAACCACACAGTTGCAGATCCCCCATTCAAACAAACCTGCACGAGAAGAGAGGGGCTCTTAGACCATTTTATACCAAATCTGGCCTACGCGACCAGATGCTCATGACAAAACTAGACGACGAGTGGCCCGGAAGCATAGAGGCAAGTTGATGCAGGTGAGGTAACTCTCGCAAAGTTAGCATGAGGAGTTGGCAGGCGAAGCAATTCTCAAAAAGTTGGCATGAGAAGCTGGCAGGTTAAGTAACTCTCGAATAGTTGGCTGGCAAAGTTGGCGGGTGAAGTAATTCTCGCAAAGTTGACATGAGAAGTTGGCAGGCGAAGTAACTCAAGAGAAAAGTTGGCATGAGAAGTTGGCAGGTGAAATAACTCTCAAAGAGTTGGCATGAGAAGTTGGCAGGTGAAGTAACTCTCGAAAAGTTGGCGTGAGAAGCTGGCAGGTGAAGTAATTCTCGAAAAGTTGGCACGAGAAGATGGCGCGTGAAGTAACTCTCGAAAAGTTGGCGTGAGAAGCCGGCAGGTGAAGTAACTTTCGAAAAGTTAGCATGAGAAGTTGGCAGGCGAAGTAATTCTCGAAAAGTTGGCGCGAGAAGTTGGCAGGCGAAGTAACTCTCGAAAAGTTGGCAGGCGATGTTGGCAGGTGAAGTACCTCTCGAAAAGTTGGCATGAGAAGCTGGCAGGTGAAGTAATTTTGCGAAAAGTTGCCACGAGAGGTTGGCAGATAAAGTATTTCTCGAAAAGTTGGCATGAGAAGTTGGCAGGTGAAGTAATTCTCGAAAAGTTGGCAGGTGAAGTTGCCACGAGAGGTTGGCAGGTAAAGTATTTCTCGAAAAGTTGGCATGAGAAGTTGGCAGGTAAAGTAATTCTCGAAAAGTTGGCATGAGAAGCTCGCAGGTGTAGTAACTCTCGAAAAGTTGGCATGATAAGCTCGCAGGTGAAGTAACTCCTCGAAAAGTTGGCACGAGAAGTTGGCAGGTGAAGTAACTCTCGAAAAGGTGGCATGAGAAGCTGGCAGGTGAAGTAATTCTCGAAGTTTCGGCATGAGAAACTGGCAGGTGAAGTAATTAACCCTCAAAAAGCTGGAGCGGCGGAGGCGCTCCGCGTGCTACATTTGCAATTTACAGTTGCGATTTTCCAGCCATTTGTATCTAAAAGTTGCGATTTTCCAGCCGGAGCTGCGGGAGCACGCTCCGCGTACTACGTCTGTACTTAAAAAGTGCGATTTTCCAGCCGGAGCTGCAGCAGCCTCCGCGTACTACGTCTGTACTTAAAAGTTGCGATTTTCCAGCCGGAGCTGCAGGAGCACGCTCCGCGTACTACGTTTGTACTTAAAAGCTGCGATTTTCAAGCCGGAGCTGCCGCGGACCAGGGGGGAATCGAACCCGGGACCGC